GTTGGAGTCTCACTCTGTCGCCTCGACCTGCTGGGCTCCGGCGATCCTTCCGCCTCAGCCTTTCAAGTACCTGGAACTACAGGGGTGCGCTACCACGCCCTGCTAAGTTTTTGGTTTATTGTAGAGATGCGGTCTCGCCAAGTTGCCCGGGCGGGTCTCGAACCCGCGGGCTCAGGCAGTCCACTCACCTCAGCCTCCCAAAGCGCTGGGATTCCAGGCTGAGCCATCGAGCCCAGCTGAGGCTTCATTTACATTTCTGTTTCACTGGCTATTAAAAAAATTAAGATGGTACTCTATAAGCAAAGGTATAAGAAGTAAAAAGAAGAAAAATAATTTCAGAAAGATTATTTTGAGGGACATTAAAAATTTCTTGAGAAGAATGTTTATTCTAAAAAAAAAAATTCCTCAAAACAATTTTTCTCTTTGCTATCCTGAACTTTCACCCACATCACAGTATCAAAGGCAAACCCCACATCATGTTTTCACTATGGTGATAACACGGCTTCAAGAAGGGATTGAGGGACACTGGGCTGGCCATGAAAAGTTCTGTTCCATTAATACCTGTGCTAGGCAGAATAAGATGCCCACATCCTAAGCCACAGAACCTGTGGCCACATGGCCAAAGGGACTCTGCAGATGCATTAAATTAAGGCTACTGAGATGGGGCATTGCCCTAGACTGTCCGGCGGGGGGGGGTCCCGAGCACTCAAGGAAGTCCTCCTAAGTGAAAGAGGAATGGCAGAGCAATACAAAGTGAGAAGGCTCAACCAGCCGCTGCTGGCTCAAAGCTGGAGGAGGGGCCCCGAGCCCAGGAACGCGGGCAGCCTGTGGAAGCGGAAAAGGCGAGAGAGCGGTCGCTCCAGGGGGAACACAGCCCTGCGACACCCTGATTTTCACCCAGTGAAATTCACTTTGGACTTCTGACCCACAGAGCTGCAAAATAACGTGTTGTTTTAAGACACTAAATCTGTGGTACTTTGGAAATTAACTATCAACAATAAGGAACTGATACAACATCCTTACCTAGGATCAGGCCAACTCTGATAAAAAGACAAAAGTCCATAGCCCAACAAAACAAGAACTCGTACTATTACGATGACATCTTATTTATACCCCAGCGTTTCCTCATGATTTTATAAAAGCATCTTAGCATCCCACTCAGTTTTCAACATGATATTTGCAAAACAGAATCCATCCTCTATGTATAATAAGGAGTTGGAAGAAACATCCATAAATAATCCCATTCTAATTTCAAGAAGGATTTTGAAGGATCTGGAGGAACCCCAAGCTGTAACATGTATTTTGTAAATATAAACCATGTTGTGTAAGTTGTTCTAATTTGTGTTTGTTCGACTTTGGTGGGGGAAGTTTCAGGAGGGAAGCTTTACAACATGGATTGCAAAAGACAGCCGGGCAAGCGCCAGTGCCACAGTCCAGGCATGGGCTCATCGAGGGATTCCCAGTCACTCTGGAATGGCAACATTCTCTCATAGCATGATTCTGAATTCTGACCCTTCCCTAATGTAAAGCATAATTTCTTTTTGGTCATGATAAGTTAAGATTTACTTTGACCATTTTTTGAGAATTTCGTGACACCCTAAAAGAACTGGAAGCATCTGTGTTCTGCCTGGAACATACCTTTCCCAAACAGCCAGTAGGCTTGCTCCCCACTCCATTCCAGTGCTCAGATGTCACCTCTTTTCTGAAGGGCATTTGTGTAAGGAAAAAAAAAAGGCACCTCTTTACAGGCCTTGCCCGATCCTGGCCTGAAATAGTGGTGCTCCGTCCCCTACAGTCACCTACTTTCCCTTCACTGCTGATGTTATATATCTGTTAGTTGGTAAGTGTATCTTCTATCTTCTCTACTAGAATGTGAAATCCATGACATTAGAACGCTTCCCTATTTTGTTCACTGATATTTTTCCCAGAAAATAGACCTGGGCCAGTCACCTGATAACTATTTGTTGACTAAGAGAAAAATAAAAGTACATCACAAAAAAAAGCAAGGTTGGCAATCACTTACTGATATCACTAACAAACATACGTTAGTGTTGCATAGTAATTAGTGTACTCCAACATTTGTACAATACTTAGAAATATAAGCATCGCCAGGCACAGCGGCTCCCACCTGTAATCCCAGCAGTTTGGAAAGCCAAAGCATGAGTATTACTTGAGCCCAGGAGTTCAAGACCAGCCTGGGCAACATAGTGAGACTTTCATCTCTACAAAACAATCTAAAAATCAGCTGAGCATGGTGGTGTGCGCCTGTAGTCCCAGCTACTCAGGAGGCTGAGGCAGAAGGCTCACCTGAGCCCAGGAAGTCAGGGCTGCAGTGAGACTTGACGTACCACTGTGCTCCAGTCTGGGCGACAGTGTGAGATTCCAGGTGAAAAACAAAGAAAGAAATATAAGCGTCAATTACTTTTGTACTATTACCAATCCCAAGAGATAAATAAAGACACATTTCTACAATTCACTGTGGCAACTTGTTTTCATGTGCTGGAAGGGTTATAGCATTGATACTATTCGCAGAAGAAAGAAAAAAGAGGAAATCCGGCATTCTTACCAGTGCTACTTTGTCGCCTGTAACTGGAAATTCTGGACCCTCCAGGGTATGTATCTTGCAAGCTCTTCTGCTTGGAATATTGAAAAATAGCTCCGCTTCTTTCTTCTCCCTTTCTCGGAAACGGGGGAGGGCTAAAGCTCCTTCCATCTGATCTTTTCCTTGACCTAAATAAATGTGAAACTTCCACCTCATAAATACCACCAGGTCTTCTTCCGAGGCCATACCCTAAATCACCTTCTATCATGTCATCCTCTTCTGTTTTCCAGAGCTGCTCCTCCGACTCACTTGATGACCTCGCCACCTTGCTCATTAGGCAAATGCTGTTTTTAACAAAAGGAAAAGCAGGTTGTAATAGTTCAGAAAAACAGGAGTTAAGAAACTGTCATAATTCACTAAGTATGATCAACTCCAAATCCATCCAGGTTGCTGCAGAGTCCATATATTTGTCCTTCTTTATGGCTGCATAATATTCCACTGTGTATATGTACCACATTTTCTTTATCCAGTCCAGCTTCGATGGGAAACATGGTTGGTTCCATGTTTTTGCTATTGTGAATAGAGCTACAATAAACATACATGTGCGGGTATCTTTTTGCAAGGGATTGGCAGTAATGGGAAACTGTCGGGGGGTGGGAGCGGCAGCTGAGGGAAACTGCTAAGGGAGGGAGGGGCATACCTCATCAACAAGGGCACCAGCGTGATCAATGATTATATACCTAACCCTGAATTGTACCTCACATCTTTATAATAAAAATTTTTAAAAAAAGAAAGAAATTGTCAGGGCCAGGCACAGTGGCTCACACCTGTAATCCCGGCCGGCACTTTGGGAGGCAGAGGCAAAAGGATTGCTTAAACCCAGGGGTTCAAGATCAGCCTGGGCAATTTGGTGAGACCTTGTCTCTACAATGAATTAAAAAACTAGCCGAGCATGGTAGCACATGCCTGTAGTTCCAGTTACTTTGAAGGCTGAGGCAGAAGGGTCACCCGAGCCCAGCAGGATGAGTCTGCAGTGGCCTTGAGTATGCCACTGCACTCCAGCCTTGGCAACAGAGTGAGACCTCGACTCAAAAACAAAACAAAACAAACCATCAGTAGGTCCAGAAATCCCACTTCTAGGTATTTACTCAAAAGATTTAAAATCAGTATGTTGAGGAGATACCTGCACTCCTGTGTTAATTGCAGCATTATTCTTAATAGACAAGTTAGAGAATTAACCTAAGTTTCCATCAATGAACGAGTGGATTTTTAAAATGTGGTTTTGCAATGGAATACTAAGCAGCCTTGAAAAAGAAGATCTTGTTGCTTGGGACAACATAATGGAATTGGAAAGCATGCAAAGTGAAATAAGCCAGGCACAGAAAAACAAATATATGTTCTCACTTATATGTGAAGCCTAAAACAACTGAACTCAAAGTAGCAGAGAGAAGAATGGTGGTCCCCGGAGTTTGAGAGGGTGGGGAAAATGAAGAGATGATGGCCAAACAGTAAAAAGTCTCAGTTAGGAAGAATTTTCTGACCCAGGGTCTCACCCTGTCACCCAGACTGGTCTTGAACTCCTGGGCTCAAGCGATCTTCCCACCTTGGCCTCCCAAAGCACTGGGATTACAGACATGAACCACTATGCTCAGCCAAGGTTTCTTTTTTCTTTGAGATATACTGTTCAATGTGATGAATACAGTCAATAATGTGTTGTATATTTCAAAATCGCTACGAGAATACGTTTCAAATGGTCTCGCCACAAAAAATCATGAGTATTTGGGATGATGGATGTGTTTATCAGCTTGATTCAATCATTTCACATTGCATTCCTAAATCATAACCTCACTTTGTACCCCATAAATAACTGTAACTATACTTTGTTCTTTGAAATTAATAAATACATAATTTTTAAAAATTAAGTTAAATTTTTAAAAAATCAGTACAAGCCGGGCTCGGTGGCT